CCGCTAGGCAGCACTGGGTGGTCGTTATTGTGTCGATGTAACGACCGCTAGGCAGCACTGGGTGGTCGTTATTGTGTCGATGTAACGACCGCTAGGCAGCACTGGGTGGTCGTTATTGTGTCGATGTAACGACCGTTAGGGCAGCACTGGGTGGTCGTTATTGTGTCGATGTAACGACCGTTAGGGCAGCACCCAGTGACTGTTTTTGTGTCGATGAGGCAACCTTGGAAAAATCACAGAGAAAACATGTCGGTGTCGATGAGCGTCTGTTCACTCGAGCAGAGCGACCGTAAGGCAGCACTGGCTGGCTTTTTGTGTCGATAAGCGACCGTTGAACGCACATGAGCTACTACTTTATGTTGTTAAGCAACCGTGGAAAATTACAAAGAGACTGTTATTGTGTCGATGCTTCTCTATACGCCACCAGCTGTCAGACAGCACTGAGAGGTTACTGTTGTGTCGATGCTTCTCTATACGCCACCAGCTGTCAGACAGCACTGAGAGGTTACTGTTGTGTTGATGTGCCTGGTAAAAAACGACTATTCTGTGCTGACCAGCAGTGCCAGGTGATAATGAGTATTTCTCAAAATCGAAAAAGTAACAGGACAATCATTGTCTGTTCTGGTCGGTAATGCAGCACGACAATGACATGACTGTCGCGAGTCAATCACACAGCAGTTACATAATCATCTCTTGACAATTATTTGACATTCACACGACGACCACCTGACTGCCACACGACAAGCACACTACAATTACACGACAATTGCTATTTATTGACATTTGGCAATCCACAAGACCACACAAAATGTACACGAAAAGCACACAAAAAGCACACGAAAAGCACTCTACTTTTGCACGTCAAGAACGATATGATTAACCATTCTGTGCTGTTCGCAAATACTAGACGACAATTACTATCTCTTCTTGTCGACACCGCTACACGACAAATGCATCTAAATTTCTTCCTGAATTGGTTCTCTGTCTCCTTTCAAGTCGATATCTACCAGCAAAACTACTATGTCGACTCCATGCCAGCCCCCACTGGTGGTCGGATGGGTTACATGGGACCCATGACAACGACTAGGTCTCCTTACTTGGCCACCAGACCGCCCTCGACACTCAAGGGGATGGAGGTGAAGGAGGTGGAGAGGATACGTCAGGTGTTTCCCGAGGCCTGGCTCTGGTCCAGTGTGACCACTCGGTGAGATGTCTCGTGACTGGTGGAGGCCTGTCTAAATATGTCTGCTGCATCTTGTCATTACGGGCAGGGATTTTGACGAATGCTACATAGGTTCTACTTTTTCATTGCAATCTGAGAATGTCTCGAACGTTACATCTGTAGTTACCCATCTGTGCTCATCTTGTCATTGCACGCTGGAATTATGGCGAACTCTTCATCGGTACCATTATGTCTTGCAAAGGCTTGGGATATTTTAATAATAAT